AAGCAGTGGTATCAACGCAGAGTACTGGTCCACTTATGTATTGCCGCTACATCGACGACTGTTGCATAGCTACATCTACACAGTCGGAGATGGACGAGTACTTTGAACTACTAAATCAACAGTCGCAATACATAAGCTTTACACGAGAGAAACCGCACAACGGTTGGCTGCCTTTTCTAAATACACAACTGATGGTGGTTGGCGGCACGGTGCGCATAAAATGGTTCCGTAAAGAGAGTAATAAGAATATCATCTTGCATGCGAAGTCCGCACACCCAATGGTTGTTAAACGTGCCGTTATCCGCAACATGTTAAAATCAGCGACAAGCATTTGTAACGGCAGTAGTGAAAGGCAGGAATCACTGAAATTGGCAGCCGAGATTATGACCTCAAATGGATATGGTATACGGCCCAGACAATCAAGAAGGACTACAGTAAAGACAAGCAAACAAGCTATGGACAAAATACCTTTATGCTTGCCTTTCATATCCGAAAGAGTAACTGCTGCGATCAAACGGTGTTTGGTACAGGCTCAGCTTGACGATGATGTTGTATTAGTCAATATACCGCGAGACAATATCAGAAGGCAATTAGTCCGTAACAGGCTGTATGATACCGAATGTATATCTCGTGATTGCGTAGTTTGCCCGTACGGAAAACGTGGCGATTGTGCAAAATCTGGTGTCGTTTATGAAATTGAGTGCTTGGAGTGCTCTGCCATCTATATCGGTGAGACCGGACGACCATTGAGTGTACGGATAAACGAACACCTAGCTAATAAAAAGAGACAAAGCATGATAAGTCCGCTGGGAAAGCATAGAATGATGGACCATGGTGGTGCCGACTACGAAATTAGGTGCAAAATTCTGGGCGACGAACAACAAATTTCTGCACGAAAAGCCTTAGAAGCATCCTACATTCTTGTCCGAGACCCGAAACTAAACAGCAAAAATGAAAAATTATCTTTGACGAGTGATCTACTGCCGTATCTTTCGTTCTGTGAACTATAAGAATGTTTGCCCATATATAAGCAACATTGTGTCATCTTGGTCAGCTCATTTGTCGCATTCGGTCACAACAGCTGACACATCGAGTGGCTATCCGCTGCAACACGGTGATACATTTGGTGGGTACACAGCTCCTCCTGAACTCTCTATTTTCACTTGAGACGAATCGAATGGCAGCTAGGATGAGGTGCTTGACGGCTCAGAACGTGTATCACTAAAACTGACACCTTTTCAGCCTCTGAAGACGGCGTCCTGCCGAAACGTCAGGCAATAAAGTTGTATCACCATTAACAACCTGTATACGGCACAGCAAAGTAATTGGAATTGTTCATACCAAGGGAACATGCCCAGGTTCAAAGATAAGAGGACTTACAAGATAATCGCAAACGTATCGCCGAATCTGTCCTCACTACTAAGCGAAACCTTAGCGCTTCGTCAAAAGGTTGTCGTCATCCGCCAACAGCTAATCTTCCTCAAACGATGCAAGTCGACCGATACGCTCCCTCGCTTCATCACAAATAAGAAATTAGGAGCAACATGCGGACTATCGGAAGATCATCCAAAAATACGCGGACTTTACAAGAACATGCTCAATGTGGTGATCAAAGAAAAACAACGCATGTTATACTCTTGCTTGCTGAAGTGCAAAGCAAAAGAACAGTCATGTCGACGATATATGAGTGATTTTGAATGGAGGAGGATTGAGATTGCGTCACGAAGGATATGCGACTCTCTGCGGTCTAATATCAAGTCCGCGCTATGTCAAAAATTCGAAAAACTCTTAAGTGAAGGTAAGCGGAGTTTTGTTGGAGTTGGTGAAAATCTGCCGATTGATCACCATACCATTAACGCAGCAACTCACGCCACCCAGAACGAAAGTACAGCAAGAGTCACGGTCTTAGGTAATGCTCAGATTTCGCAAAACGCCATTAAATTGCTGAGCTTAGGACCTTCCTTTGCACCTACACAAAATGTGAACGCGAGAACGTACCGTAGTGTTGTAGGATCATCGCAAAGATTGAGAGACCAGCTTCGGGTCAAGCTAAGGCATGCTAACACACAACCCGCCAATACTCTGAGTAGACGAACGTTACCATCTGTTCCATTTCCATCATCGTTCTACAAAGAGCCCGAACCTTATGCTGCCGCAGACATCAAGTTCCGGATATTGTCACTGAGCATATTGAAAGTTCTCAATGACAACAAAAGCGTGAGAAAATTCAACTTGACATACGCACAGCAGCAGGGTTTTAAAGAGTTGAAGGAACTGACCAGCAACGGCACCATCCGCTTGTCAGTCAGCGATAAAGGCGGGGAATTCGTCGTAATGCCTCACACCCTAGATCGTGAGATAACCGAGTTACATTTGTCAGATAAAACGGTTTACCAACCCTCGAATGAGAAAGAGTTTCTGACGCAATGCAAACGGTTAAACCACGTATGGACAGTGATAGGAAAAGAAGCTGGTTTAAATGAGAAGTTCCTTAGTCGGCTTAAAAATAGAAACACCCGCATGCCCTGTCTTTTACAGTTTGATCAAGACGCACAAACTCCTTACGTCCGAGATGCAATCCGAAGCCGCTAGTTCGTACAAGATACGACCCATTGTCAGTTGTGTCAACGGACCAACCGACCGTATAGCCTGGTTCCTCAATAAAATTATCAGCCAACTTTTGTGCAAAATACCTGCTCATTTGAGCAACACTAATCATTTTCTTGATCTTTTGCGCAAAACGAATTTCACCTCAGATTGCGCGATCGAGTCCTTTGATGTCACGTCATTGTATACTAATGTATCCAATGAAAAAGCTTTACAAGCGTTAGCTGAGATGCTCGAGACACATGGTAGAACGATTTTGACATATGGCTTCAGCAAGACGCGCATCATGACGCTTATCAAGGAATGCTTAGCTTGCAATATTTTCAAATGGTCGGGAAAATATTTTGCACAAATACGAGGACTGGCGATGGGCCAACGCTTAGCACCCGTGCTTGCCATATGCTTTATGAGCAAAGTAGAAGAACCGGTGCTATCCAGAGGTCCACTTATGTATTGCCGCTACATCGACGACTGTTGCATAGCTACATCTACACAGTCGGAGATGGACGAGTACTTTGAACTACTAAATCAACAGTCGCAATACATAA